ACCAAATATGTTGTTGTTAAAGAGTTGGTAGTGTCACTCGGTGACGAGATATGTGTGTGGATGGTACGGAGATACACCGGGGCTTGGGAGATAAGAGAAGATCGGATTGATCTTGGGGAAATATAGAGTGCATTGTTTGGCCATGCTCTATACTCCCGACTTGACTCTTTGACTTTGCCTTTTTGCCAAGGGATCGTTATGCGTAAGCATTGTATCCGTGATGCACGGATCAACCAAGCAACTATCTATACTTACGTGAGCCATTTATGCTCGTGTGTAATTTTGTTATGCTTGTGAGAGTTGTCTCGTACTTATGTGTGATCCTTTCACGGATTGAAAGATGGGATTGATAGTGTATCCTAGGTGCATGAGCATTTCAAATGTAGTAAAAATGAAAAAAATGAAACACAAACATGTATTATGTGTTTTTAGTTTGAGTAATGTGAGTTGTGGAAATTGTTTGAAATTTACGTGTGAGATACTTTATTATAAAAATGAAATGTTTGACTATAAATGTTACATATGGTTTTAGATTGTGGAAGTTGGAAAAATTTTCGGTTTAGTGTTCGGAGTGATGAGAAAAGGAAACTCATCCTTCATCGTTATATTTCGGGTAATGATGAAACAATTGTGGTGGAGGAACCATAATTTGATTGAGTATCATATACATATGCATGGAAGAATGCTGCCTTCTGAGACGGGCATGATCTTGTATAATAAAGTTAGGAATTTTGGGTACCTGCTCTGATTAGGATTTGCTTTATTTTGAGATATATAAATTTAAATTAAGTTCTAATCGTTTAAGGGTACCAACTTTATGTAATTATAATATGATCCTTGTTGGATTAGTTATTTTGAAAAACAATGTATTATGATTATGAATGTTATGTATGAACATGTTCGATACCTTATTTATATATATTTATTCACGCATGACCAATTTTAAAGTTCATTGTCATAAAGAAATAATATTGTAAAAAAAAAAAAATATTCCCATTTTTGAGAAATTAAATAAATTAGAAAAAAAAAATGACGTTACAGTTGTAATGTAAACGATTTTGAAATCAGCCATTTGCGCAATTTATCCGATTTTATTCGTATAATAACCGTTATTAACAAGTAAGGTTCGTATCATAAACCCAGCACTATGCAACTAAATCAGTAATTACATGGTACATGGACCTAGGTCAGCCTTAATTATATAATTGAGTCATTAATAATGAATGTCAGGAGTTAATATATATGTAACAAAACAGAAATACAGTACAAGGTCATAATTTACATTAACGACCAATACATGGTAACCTACACAAAATTACTACATCGCCACCTACACTAAATTCGCACATGTGCTCCTCCTCATTCTTCACCACTTTCTTCAGAGTCGGTCAAATTTTCATCATCATTATCATCGTCATCTCCTAAAGACATGCTTGTATCGTCTCCTTCATTTGATGGTTCCACTTCACCTCTGTGAAAAATCAGGGTGGTCCCCAGGCCATTGGACAAGTGCACGAAACTCTTCTACGGTAGGCCAAGGTACCGGACTATGCGTGCTTATAGAATATCTGTGGAAACTTTCATTCAAACTGACCGTGCTTATAGAATATCTGTGGAAACTTTCATTCAAACTGACCTGCAGTAGAGGAGAGGAAACTACAGTAGCAAATGCAGAGCCAGCTGAAACTGCACCTGAAAGAAAGGAAATAGAGTCTAGCACAGCTCCAAGGCAAAGTCATGAATCAAACCAAGTTCCATAAAATGGGTTTTCTCTAGGTAATATTGTTTCTAATCCTGAACCTATTGATGGCATTGACATTCCCATTACATTAAGAAAAGAGGTGAGATCTTGTACTCAACACCCATGGGAGTTATGTGTCCGATGAAAAATTGTCATATGGGTAGAGGTTGTTTGTAGCAGCTCTTAACAACATACATATCCCAAGAAATGTTCAAGAGGCACTCCAACAATCTGAATGGGCAGTAAGAAGTTCAGGCCTTGATTAAAAATGACACATGGGAAATAATCACCCTACCAAAAGGAAAGAAATCGATCGGATGCAAATGGATATTCTCCATCAAATACAATGCAAATGGTATTATAAACCGATACAAAGCCCGACTGGTGGCAAAAAGGTTACCCAATCATATGGAATGGTCTACAAAGAGACTTTGCACCGGTGGTCAAACTCAATTCAATCCGAGTTATACTCTCTTTAGCTGCAAATTTAGATTGGTCACTTTATCAGCTAGACATCAAGAATGTCTTCCTAAACGGTGAACTAGAAGAAGTCTATATGCACATTCCTCCGGGACTTGAATCATAAAAAACCTCAAACATGGTGTATAGGCTCCGAAAATCTTTATATGCCCTTAAGCAATCTCCGAGAGCATGGTTTGATAGATTGACTCAAGTTGTCAAAGAAGATGGATTCAACCAATGTCAATCAGATCACACGATGTTTGTCAAACACACCGCAAAAGGGAAGGTAGCCCTGTTCATTGTTTATGTTGATGATATCGTTATCACATGAGACAATTATGATCAAATCAAGCATTTGAAGGGACTTTTAGCCAAGGAATTTGAAGTTAAGGATTTGGGCCAACTCAAATGCTTTCTAGGGATGGAAGTTGCTCGGACGAAAGATGATATTTATGTATCACAAATGAAATATACACTAGACTTACTTCAAGAAATTGGTATGCTTGGGTGCAAAGGCAACCAAAACTCTCATAGAACCAGAAAAGAGAGGTGAAGAGGAAAGTTCACCAGCTGATAAAGATAGATATCAAAGACTAGTTGGGAAGCTAATCTACCTAATTCACACTAGGCCCGACATTGGGTTTGTTGTCAGCCTGACTAGTCGCTATACATCTAATCCAACTGAGGCCAACATGAACATGGCAAACAGAATACTCCAATACCTCAAAGGTACACTAGGCCGAGGGGCTCTACTTCAAGAAGAACTCAAACATAGGTATTGAAATCTATACTGACTCAAATTGGACAGGATATCCCTTTGACAGGAAATCAACTACAAGCTACTATTCCTTTGTGTGGGGAAACTTGGTGACTTGGAGAAGCAAGAAACAACCTGTGGTGGCAAGGAGTAGTGCAAAAGCTCAGAGCTATGGCTCAAGGTATCTGTGAAGGAATCTGGCTTAAGAGGATGTTAGATGAAATCAAAATTCGCATCAATTACACTATGAGAATAATGTGTGACAACAAAGCTGCTATAACCATAGCAAAGAACCTAGTCCACCATGATCATTAAAAAAAAAATTGATCATGGTATTATAAGTGTTGACCATGTTCCATCATGCAGACAAATAGCAGATATCCTGACAAAGGTTCTTCCAAGGAACACATATGAAAACATTAGATCCAATTTGAGTACGATAGACATCTACCACCCAGATTGAGGAGGAGTGTTGGAGATCAGTACTATCAATTAGAATAATTCAATTATGATAGGATTTAATGATAATATAATCAGTTTTATTTCGTTATTTATGTACAGTTATGTATAGCATTTATAGGGAGAATATTTCCCTGATTTTCAGGAATAGATTAGTGCATAGGTTTATTACCTTGTATTCTATTTATACCTCCTTTGTATCTTTTCTAAAATAAGAAATACACAATGTATTTTTCGCAAAAGCAAATGTGATCCATCACTGTTATCTTTTAACTCTGTTGAAGGTAATATCTATATTCTTATATATGTTGATGATATCAATTTGACAGGATCTTATTCTCTGTTGCAAATTACAATTTGTGTTTGCTTTAAAACAACTTGGTGATCTTGACTATTTACTTGGCATTAAGGTCAAACAGTTCTCTAATGATTTTCTTATTTTTATCTCAAGCAAAATAAATTTATGACTTTCTTGATAAAGTTGGCATGACCGATGCAAAGGATATATCTACTCTATTCAAGGAGGACTTAAACTGTCCAAACTTGGTTCTGATTACATGGAAGATCCTGCTCTTTATCATTCTATTGTTGATGCCTTAAAATATGTGACTATTACAAGGCCAAGAATTAGTTATAGTGTGAACAAGGTTGTCAATTCATGGCTTAGCCTTTATTAGAACACTGGAAAGCTGTAAAACGTATACTCCGCTACTTAAATGACTCTCTTTCTCATGGTCTACATCTTCGCCTTGCAACTCTCTCCAATGGCGGTTACACTTTACATGCATACTACAATGCTGATTAGGCTTTGGATATAGATGATCGTCGGTCTACCTTTGGTGCTTGTATTTTCTTTGGACCTAACTTTCCTGATGGTCTAAAGAGTAAACTCTGGTTGCCCATTCCAATGCTAAGGCAGAATATAGAAGTCTTACTATCACTACCTCTGAAATTCTACCGCTGCAGTCAGTTCTCAAGGAAATCCACATCAGTTGTACTACACCAGCCAGTCTCTATGATAATCAAAGCGTTGTTGCTCCCAGCCTAATCCTGTGTTGCATTCTCGCACAAAACATACCGAACTTAATATCTTCTTTGTTCATGAGAAAGTCCTTAATTAGTCTTTAATTGTCACTCTCATCCTCTGCTATTGATCATGTTGTCGATATCCTCATCAAACCTCTCTCCCAAAGTCCTTTTTGACTTCTGCGTCACAAACTTAATGTTATTGATTATTTTCAATAACCTTGAGTTTAAGTGGGCTTGTTAGGAATATGGGGGAATATATTTTTGTTTTGATTATCTGATTTTATATCTTTTTCGTTTTGTATACGTGATGCATTGTTCTGTGTATTTTGTTAGGAATAGGTGATGCATGCTATATGCGTGACACCTAGTTAATGCTATAAACCACTGTACCATCTCTGGGTGTGTAATAAAGATGACAGACAATACTTTTCAGAATATATTTCATTTCTGGTTTACCATATTCAACACAACCACATTGTCGTATCCTGTCCCAGTTCTTTCATATAATTCAATTTTCGTTTACCATTTGCAGTATTTATGAATCCAAAATAACTAAGGCAAGGATGTGTCTGAAAAAGGAAAACAAACAAACAGATAACCATCCTTAACACACATCACAACACAATGATGCATCACATCCAGTAACATTATTACATACACAAATTGAAAGCAAAGAAAAAAAAACACAAAGCAATGAAGCATTACCTGGTGCTTGCCACACAGTTCGCAAGAGGAGCACGGAACATACGTAACGGTGCTCCCCGTATCAACAATAAGAGCAAACATCTCGCGCAGAGTCCCGATCCAAAGCCGCGTCGTGTAATAGCTAAATCATTCAATTCCACACACGCATAAATCATCAATTACGAGTTCTATTAAATAAAAACAAAAGCGACGAAGAAGGAAGAAGGAAGTGCGTGAAACGACGACCTAAGAGGTTTACCCGTTGAGGAGGAGATCGTCGTGGAGTCTCATGCGCGCGTTAGGGTGGCGCTTGGACTCGGATCCGTAAAGCTGGCGACGGGGATCGAGCGCTGACGTAGTGGAATTGGGTGCAGAGAGGTACAGTGGAAGAACCATAGCAGGGCGTGAGCCATGGCGGCGGTTGCAGAGGAGCGTGGAGTTGCCGGCGATGAGTTGGAGGAATATTAAGAGGGTGATAAACGTGATGAGAATGAGGTGAGTGAGTGCCCACGCCATGAATTGTTGTACGGGCTGGTGAAACGAGTTACGGTCCTAGTAATGGTTGTTCCTGAACGAAAGAGAAGAATGAAGGATGGTGGAGAGTCTGTGTTTCTTTGAATTTGAGAAAGGAGGGAAGTGAAGTAAGCGTCTCTGTTTTAATATATATTTGACACTTTTAAGAGCGGTTAAAGTGGAACCGCTATCATATATGTGTCACTTTTAAGAGCGGTTAATATTTTGACCGCTCTTAAAGGTGAACATATAGTAGCGATTCCAAGTTAACCGCTATCTAAAATATACTTTTAATAGCGGTTAGTTTTAGAACCGCTCTCTTTAGTATGTTTAGATAACGATTATGTGAACCGCTATCTAAAGTCCCAATTTAAAAAAAAAAATTATTTAAATTTATTCAGTAATACTGTGCATTTATTATTTTTTCATTCGGTTGTCGAACGGATGTTTAAAATGGGTTGTCAAAATATCGGGACTCATATATAAATAACAACAATAAGAGTCCTGATATTTAAAAATTATATTTATTAATATCATATGGGTTGTTAGGTGATGCTGTTTGCAAGTAGTGTAATGATGTATGACCAAATGAATGTCACTTGGTGGCAAGCATTCGACGTTTTTGTTTCAATCCTTTGTTTGCGGTATGTTTATTGTGCATTTAAAAAGTTAAGTTGCACATAGGTATATTATCATTGATTGTCATTTATTTTTGTGCCTTTTGATAAGACACAAGTGATTGAACAAATGTATATTTGCAAAGGGAAAACATCTACGTGGACAATGAAAGACTTCTCAACTGTTCTATCCAAATACAATTATTCCATTGCGACGAGTTATTGAGTTGTGAACTTGTGAGTATTTATACTTTGCCTAAAATTTATATTTTTGTCAAGATAAAATTCAATTAACCAGAGTTTTTTCTATTTCGATTTTTGCTCCCACTTGTACACAATGGTCATTGGTGGTGTTATGTGCTTGAAATGTAAGGATGGAGAAGCTGTTTTTATTAGATTCATTGGGCCATGATAATAGATCACGAAAACCAATTGATAGAGCTATGGTAAATATTTGTTTTAAGTTGTTTACGTAGGTAATATAGTTAATTCAGAGCTATGTTTATTTGGCGAATAATGTAATATTGTGAACGAGTTGCAATGTTTTGAACATCTATTGTCATTGTTGGAAACAAAGTCATCGAGGACCACTGGAGAACTTAAGGTTTCAAAGGAGGACTTGCCAATTCAACCAAACATGTTAGTATGTTATTATAGTTGAAATTTTGTTTGCAAAATGTTGTATGTAATGTGTGTAATAACTACATTCAATTGTGCAGGTATGATTGTGGATTGTTTGTTTTAAAATATATGGAGTTGTGGGATGGTGTGAGTAAAGTGAATGGGAAAAGTATGCCTCATTAAACATCGGTAAACATTAAAGTCATTGTATTATTGTTTTGTTTTTTACTACTATGAATATAATTTATTATGACATTCTTCATATTGTACAGGAGCAAACCCTATTCATTGTGCCATTTGATCAAACAGTTGGTGACCAGATTTGTATATTGTAACCCAACAAGTGGAAAAACACTTTCAACACCACTTTCATAACAAACTATTTACAAATTAAACAGCTAACGAACCAATTATTCAGCAAAAAATTCATGAAAATTGTAGACTAACATGAACATAGGCACAAAACGAGAAGAATGCACTTACTTGAACTGTAAAAATGCAGCTTAGGAAAAGGATCTTCGATAGATAATGATAATGGAGGAGATTGATGGCGAGAAGAAGGTAACAATCAACAAATTTCTTCAACGCCAGTGCTTCTATCGCGCAGATGTGAAACAGGTGACTGTCGGCGTCGCTCATTGATTTTGCCTTTAGGTTACACGTAAGGTCCGCTTGAGCGACTTTATTGTCGCTTACATTTAAATTAAAATTATAATCTATTAGCAAAATATAACCGATCATATACCACTTATAATCGATCATCATAACGTATAATCGATTATAACCTAAAATAATCGATCATTTTATTTGATTTTTCTAACATCGCTCAAGCGAAACTCACATCGCTCGAGCGACGCCACCTGCTGATATTTGCGATTCTCGGGGTGTGTTTCGCTTGAGCGACAACATTCTCGCTCGAGCGATATATGATTCAAACATGTGGTCACCCATGTTACATTATGCGGCTAACTTTGATTGACGTTTAGCCTCAGGTCAACATTCGCTCAAGCGAAATTCACATCTCTCGAGCGACACCGCCTGCAAAAAATTGGGATTCTCGGGTTGTATTTCGCTTGAGCGACACTAGTCTCGCTCGAGCGATATCTGATTCAAACATGTGTCAATTTTAATATATATTTGACACTTTTAAGAGCGGTTAAAGTGGAACCGCTATCATAGATGTGTCACTTTTAAGAGCGGTTAATATTTTGACCGCTCTTAAAAGTGAACATATTTTGACCTCACAACAGTCATACCCAGAAGTAAATATGAGCTTTGCAGATGCCAATAGGAAAATAGTCCTAACTGCCTCAGTATGGCCATACAACACATCAATACTATATCGTCCCATAAAAGTCTTACTCCTAAACTCCCTTTCCACGAAAAGTTCCTTCCATGACTTATCATCAAGGAAGCTGTTGGAAGCCCCCACCTTTCAGAATAGAATTGCTTCCAAGCATGATGCTCGGATGCAACTCTTTGAAAAATCGTCGAGACACACGAAACAATGCCTAGATCTTTCGGGTCAAGGAAATTGAGAATTTCAGATATCAATGCAGGAGGAAGGTTAGTGATGGACAAACCAAAATCTAAAACCACATCACCAGGAATTGATGACTGGTTCAAAGCACTGGCCGGAGCTTTGGTTCCCTTCTTCGAATTAATCTTGGATGCTCCCTTTAGCTTCACACCCTTCCCAGATTCAGGTCTGCTACCTGGAACGAGATTTTTGGTTGCTACTCCTTCCGTGAAGGATTTGGAACTAAGCTGATTAGTTTCAACTATGCCTATGCCTGGATTTGCTACAAAGTGTGCCAAATTTTGAGAATCCTCAGTCCTATTTGGGCACTCAAATGCCATAAAAAATGTGGATCCTACTCTATGAATCAAAAGGGTTGAAAGCTCAAACCCCCGCAACGTAACGAATTCAAATTTCCCAAACCGAAGCGAAGAAAAAGATCAAATCGGGATCCCTAAAGTTAACCTAAGCTGAGCAACAATCGGTAACCAAATTATGGGAAGAGGAATCCAAAATTTTAAAAGAAGAATTGGAAAAAAATAAGAATGATTGAAGGGGGAAAAGGTATAAAAGATCTAAGAAGGGGAAAATAAAGAAAGAAGAAATACCTTGAGACGAGAAGAGTGATGAAGCAAAGGGATACCGGAGATTGGGATAAGAAAATGAGATTAGGGTTTGTGTGATTAGGTATGTGACTACAAAGAATGAGTGCAGATCCACAGGTTGGATTTGAAAAAAAGGAATATGCCAACACCCTTCTCGCTCTACCTTTCCAAGACAACTCACAACACAACAATATTAGTTTTTTTTTTCTTAAATTTCAAAATTGTTATTTTAATTGTTGTGGATGATGTCACCTTTCGTTAATTTTTTACAAAAAAATTGATTCAAATTTAATAAAATGAACTATAATAACAAGTTTTAAATTTTGAAGTATCAATATAAAAAAATATAACCTTTTGAAAGTTAAAACAATAAACTTGATATATAAAAAGAATCTTAAATATACATTCAATATTTTGTATTCCTAAGATTAATTTAAAGGTAAAAACAAATATTCATTTTGTTAATATTCAAATAATTTTTAAAGATGTCAAACATTGAAATTATATTACAAATATCAAACACTGCTAAGTATAATTTAGAATGATTACGAGTACCACATAATTCTTTAAAAAAAAAATCATTCACAATGTTAGAAAGATGAAAACAAAGAAATTACAAGAACCTAATTAAAAACCTCATTTTTAAAATATTTTTGTAACTAATTCGTTTAATTTTCATTTTCAGTTTAGTTTTAATTATAAACAACTACCTTAAATTCATATATTTTTGCTTACCAAAACTAACATTCTGATTAGTTACAAAAATATATATTGATGAAGCAGAAGCTCACAAAACTCAAAGTCAAAGCCCACATATCATTTTCTTCTTTTCATTTTCTCTTATTTTGTGTATAAAATTAACTGTACTTTGAAAAAGTTTTTGGAATAATTAAATTAATATATATATGTTGATTATAATTTATATTATCCCGTCGTGCATATGCTAATTATAACTAATAATAGTTTTTAATTAATTCGTATCTTTGACTTTATTTTTTGTATCAAGTAACGTTTTTTTTAACAACTCTATCAGTGAACGTTAAGTCTTCTGAATTGAATAGGTTTCCCATCTCAGATCTGAATTTTGGTACATGCATAACACACAGAAATTGTATTCGTATCATATAATAAAATAGTATAAATAGTTTTTTTCTTCTTATTATTTAAATATATTTTTGTAGAAATTGAAAAAGAAAAAACGCCACTCACTTATACGATCCTATTTTGGCTCCATCGGTTGCGTTAATCTATATCCCACACACAAAAACTCATCGCCAAACACAAACCCACGTAACCCTCTCTCAATCACACCACACATAATGTCCTCCGACGAAGACACCTCCCCCCGCCACCGCCACCGCCACCGCCACCTCCACCGCTACCGCCACTGCCTCCCCGGCAAAACTCCAAACCGCTATCGATTCCCTCTCCTCCATCGTCCCTGCTCTGTCCACGCTCACCCCCTCCAATCTCCTTACCAACCCCGACCTCTACTCCAACATCTCCGCCCTCCTCCGCCAACCCAACTCCGGCGCAGGCGACAACAACCTCTGCCGCTGGCTTTACGACACGTTCCAGTCCGGCGTCGCGGACCTCCAACTCCTCGTCCTCCGCTTTCTCCCGGTCATCGCCGGCGTCTACCTCTCACGCGTCGCCGACCGGAAACCCCAAGCCGGCTTCGAAGCCGTTCTCTTAGCCCTCTACGCGCACGAAACAACCTCACGCGCTGGGCAGCCTGTGTCCATCACAATCCCCGACCTCACGCAACCCAGCGTCTACCACGAGGCCACCGGCAAAAGCCCCAGCAAAAGCACCGGCGCCGCCGAGTCCGACCTCGCAGTGGTATCCCACGCGCTGGAGCCCCACGGCACTGTGCGGTCCACGCGCCGGGCCCGCATTGTGGGCGTGGCGCTGGAACTCTACTACACCAAGATCGCCCACATGCCAATATCTTCAAAGATCGATTTTTGCGAGTTTTGCAAGGTGTGGGCGGGGCAAGAAGGAGAGATGTATGAGAAGTTCGAAGAGGATGAAGAAGAGAACGAAGAAGGAGGGGTTGGTTCTGCCATGGAAGTTAAAGTGAGGAAGAAGGTTGAGGGTAGGGTTCCTCTGTGTTGGGAACTGTTACAACCTGTTATGAGGATTCTGGCACACTGTTTGTTGGGACCAAATAACAACAAGGAGGTTGTGCTTTTTGAGAAGGCCAATGAAGCATGCAGGTCCTTGTTTGCAAGGAGCATGCATGATGTTAACCCTAAAGCCATTCTTCCCATGAGGAGTCTCATGAGGCTTTCCAAAACTCTTATGCCCAACTCCAAACACCTTGATCCCACTGAACTTCCTTATTCTGATGTTATCTCTCTTTGAATCCTTCTTTTTTGTTCTTTTCATTTCATATATAAATAACAACAGTGTTTCTTATTAGTTTGTGTTTTATCACACTCTTTCAACACAATGCACTCCTCTATTATTTTAAGAGCAGTTTATGTAATTTCTTCTCTATTATTATTATTACATGCAAAGGAACATCCTACTCGTGAAATGAATATAACACTACCATGTTTCTCTCTTTTAATAATATTTTTTATTATTACATGTTCTTATTTAATCACAATGATATATTTTTAAAACATTAAATAATAATTTCATATTTGTTGAATTTATAATACTAATCTTGCAAGTTATTCAAATTTTTTATTTTTGAGAGGTTATCTTTCGGAAAACTTATACCAACTTCATTGATTTATATATACCGTCAAATACATAGGTTTCTTCGTTTTACCATTTTATTTTTTTATTGTGACATTATCAAAGATTATTTTCTATAAGAAAAAGAAATTAATAATATATATTAAAAAAAAAACAAAGTTCATATAATCAAATCAAGTCATGTTAATTTCGTTAAATCATTAACAAAAAAACTGATATTGTTATTGTAAAATCAATAATATTAGTTTTTTTTATATGCTAAAAGGGTATAACTGGATTTTTTTGTTCGTTAAACATTTTTGGTAATATTTGACAAAATTATATAGGGAAATTAAAAGTTAAATAATTTGTTATGACTTTTAAAATTATATTAAAAAGAAAAACATTGTAATTTTAGTCTCATCTTTTTAGTTATGTAGAAGTCAACTCAAATTGATCATGTCATGTCTAAAGTAAAATACATATAATTAAATCAAAGGAATTAAAATTATATTAGAAAAAGGAACAAATTTTTTGAAAATAATAAAAAAAATTAGGGTTTAAAATTAGAGATTTTATAACATATAAGAAGGGGTTAAATTTATTAATATAATATTGACATGATATATTTATAATACAATATTGTATGTATGTTATTAACAACGTGTTCGTTATATTGAAATGAATATGGCTTAGACTGAACGCTGACTCGTTCACAATTTAAGTGTATGTAAGGATTTAAAAAAATAAGTTGATATTATAAGTAATAATGATAAGGAATTTAAAAAAGAATAATGAAAAAAAAATTAGCAACAAAAAATACTTTGATAAACAATGGACGGCGTAAATGGTATTTTGGACCGGGAGGATAGATGGATGGTGCACAGTGGACGCGAGAAATCTCACCGCAAAAGACAGAAAAATAAACGAAGTTCCAACTTTAAATGGATTTCAATCTAAGCGAATAATAACCGTCAGATTTAGATCGACGGTGAATATGACGTGTGTACTCATATCTAACCTATGCAACGCTACATCCACCCACTCTCACGCTCCTTCCTCCTCCGTCTCTGCAACCGCCCGGAGCTGCACAACCACAAGCCCTAACTCTCTCCAAAACGCACCCGTTTCGTTCCCTTGCTGTTCGTGCGTTTCTGCAATTCCTCAACCCGATTTTGAATACTCAATTTAATTTTCATCGTTGTAAGTTATGACTTCCTATCTCTCGTTTAATTTTTACAATGAATTATGCAACAGTTACTGTTTCTGTTGATTTTTTAAAATTCTTTGAATTTTGCTGAAAGTTTTGCGACTTCTATTGGTTGCTTCACCTCTAGGTATGTTTGACCTGTTTGTGATAACTAACTGTGACAATTAATTGAATGTTAAAATTTTGTTGTAGTTATGATGTTTAGCTCAAACCTATTTGACATTGAACCTTTGTTCTATTAGCCTTGTTATGGGCTATACCAAATTTCTGATGATGCCTGACATTTTTGAATTATTAACGTACACTGTGATAAGAGGGAGTATTTTTTTGTCATTTCATATGACCTTAATTAATCTGAAGAACTTACTCTTTTTTTTTTTGTTTCCTTTCTGTTCTTTTATTTGTTTTGCTAAATTCCACTAACGAGAATATTTTCGATGAAACGCTGCATTGTTTAATTTTGGATTTACTTGCAGCATAGGCAATTTAAGACAACGCATCTTTCTATTTTATAGCATAAAGCATGCAACTTTTTCTACATACAAGTGATAAACATGGGAGAAAGAAGTGACCACCAAGCTATGGCAGATGATGGGAATCTTGAACATATTGAAGGTGGAGTTAATAATTCTGAAAACAACTCTGGCTCTCATGTTGAGGGGGTTTCTGAGCCATATGTGGGTAGGGAGTTTGATTCAGAAGATGCTGCAAAGACTTTCTACAATGAGTATGCCAGACGAATAGGTTTCAGCTGCAAAGCTGGTTCACACGGTAGTTCCAAAGCCGATGGGGAAAATATGTACTGGGAATTTGTCTGTGGCGGGGAGAATTTGAAAAGAAAGTTTGCTGAAGGTTGCAATGCAATGATTAGGATCGAGCAGAAGGATCAAAATAAGTGGGTTGTTACACAATTTGTAAAGGAGCATAGCCATTCCATGGGAAGCCTTAGTAAGGTGCATAGTATTAGGCCACGCAAGCACTTTATTAGTGTGGGAAGAACCATGCCTGAAACTTACCAAGGAGTGGGGCTTGTTCCAAGCGGTATGATGTATGTATCTACGGATAAGAATTATATTCCTACTAAGAATATTCACGGAATTAAGAATATTCCTGCAGCTGCTACAATTGCTGAAACACTTCAGCCGGGTAAAAGTCCTACATTGATGAATTATGCTGTTAGGCCACCTATTCAAAAGAGGACATTAGGGAGGGATGCTCACAACCTGCTGGAGTACTTTAAGAAAATGCAAGCTGAGAACCCTGGTTTCTTCTATGCAATGCAACTTGATGATGATAATCATATGTCTAATGTGTTTTGGGCAGATGCGAGATCAAGGACTGCTTACAGTCATTTTGGTGATGCGGTTACTATGGACACAACATACAGAATAAATCAATATAGAGTGCCATTTGCTCCGTTCACTGGGGTAAACCATCATGGTCACATGATTTTGTTTGGTTGTGCACTCCTCTTGATGATTCTGAGGCTTCTTTTGTGTGGCTCTTCAAGACATTTTTGACAGCAATGAATGACGTCACCCTGTTTCTATCACTACTGATCACGACAGAGCTATACAAACAGCAGTTTCACTAGTTTTTCCTCAAACACGTCACTGTATTAGCAAATGGTATGTCTTGCGAGAAGGCCATGAAAAGTTGGCCCATGTATGCGGCATGCATCCAAATTTTCAGATTGAACTTTATAATTGTATTAATCTGACAGAAACAATTGAGGAGTTTGATTCATCTTGGAGTTTTATCATCAATAAATACGAACTCACAAAAAATGATTGGCTTCAGTCACTGTACAATGCTCGTGCTCAATGGGTTCCAGCATATTTCCGTGATTCTTTTTTTGCACTCATGTCTCCTAATCAAGGAATTGATGGTTCTTTCCTTTATGGTTTTGTCAACCATCAAACAACATTACCAGTGTTCTTTAGGCAGTATGAACAAGCTTTGGAGAGCTGGTTTGAAAAAGAATTAGAATCAGATTATGAGACAATTTGCACCAC